CTCTCTATTTATTCTTTACCACATTACTTACCAGCACCTATTAATAGGGGAACAGAACTTTGATCCCCACTTTCCTTCTCACAACAAAACAGTTTATTAGCTAGACTTTGGGAGCAAGTAGAAAGAAAGCTACTTATTCAGATTAACAGCAAGGCTCTAGAGACCTAATTTACCAGCCAAACTCCCATACCAATAGTAATTTATAATTTAGACTGACTCACTCTTAATTAAGGGTATTCTTAGAAGTCTAACATGTAATTTTACTTAAAGAGAAATTAATTATTGGTGCCTAGGTGAAAAAATCTTTAGGGACTAAAGCATTTTTCGAATGTGTGCAAAATCTTTATCAGTTTTCCCCACAGTGAGATTTCAAGTCTGTTTCTCCCAGTTGATTTCTGGTTTTTGTTTTTTCATATTTTTTCACTAAGGAAAAATAAAACTATGCCAGATATTTTAATTTTCGCTGTCACTCCCATGGTTTTAGGTAGATTATTTTTTCCACAAAATTATTATTAAAGGTCAGTAGAGGACTGTGGTTGTAGCTCAGTGGTAGAGTGTTTGCCTAGCATGTGTGAGGCACTGGGTTCAATCCTCAGCACATTAAATAAATAAATAGACAAAATGAAGGTGTTGTACCTATCTACAACTAAAAAAATGTATAAAAAATATTTTAAAAAGGTCAGTAGAAATATGGAAAAACTAATTTTATTATGATAAATTAAAGTCATCTATTCACTGAACTGCTATTGTATGCCAAGAAAACAGGATTAAAGGAGACCGTTTTCAAGCCTTTACAGTTTGACAATTGAGTTTATGCATATATATAACCATTTGGTCACAGTAAGTTATTTTTTAATGATGGAGGTTTCATTTTGCTTGGAGATCCTTTAACATTTTGATATCTGTATTCACAAGTAAAATTAATATGATATTTTTTCTCTACTATCTTTGCCATGTTTTGGATTCTGGATGATATTAGTTTTGAGCCGTAAATATGACTATTAGTTCTGCTTCTGTTCCCACCTCTTTCTAGAGGGCCTGTCACTATTGCAATAACTAAAAACCTAAAAACTGCATTTCTCAGATTCCCTTGTACCTAGAGTTTCTGATATAATTTAGTTTCTACCAATCATATGCATGTGCATAAATGTTGATTTTAGTACTAAATTCTCCATTTGTTTGTGTAGATCTGGCAGCTGTAGACTGGCTCTAAGGCCATTAGTTAGGATCACAGGTTCCTAATCTCCATAGTAGCGCTAATATGGCATGATCTTAGAACCCAACAATTGCCACAGTGACTTCTGATTATCCAACTTCCTAAGATAGAAGTTCCATTTATTTTATCATAGTTCTGATGTTTAGAAAGCCAAGATCAAGGTGTTAGCAGGCTTGGTTTCTTAAAAGGCCTATCTCCTAGGCCTTACAAGAAGCGTGTCTACTTTCTTGCTGTGTCCTCACATAACTGACCGTGTGTGTGTGTATGTGTGTGTGTGTTTGTGTTTCTGTGTGTGTCTGCGCGTGTCTCTGCGCGCACATGCATGCATGCTTCTGTGTCCTCTAATCTCTTCTCATAAGGACACTAGTCATAATAGACTTCATAATGACTTCATGCGATAGGACTTTAATTTTCATTTTCACTTAATTACTTCTTTAAAGGTCCTATCTCCAAATACAGTCACACACTGAAGTACTAGGAGTTAGGGCTTCAAAATATGAAGCTGAGATAGAAGTTCCATTGGCCATACAGTAAAACAGTATTGTTTCTAGGGGTCATTACTAGATGTATAGTCGGAAACCTGTAACCTGAAACCTTCCCATGATGTAAGCAAAGAGTTTCCACTATTAAGTCATTTATTTTCTGCCAGAGTTGTTCCTATTATCACCAGTTGATCCCTTGTTAATAAAGTAGTTGCTATCTGAAGTGGATACAGGCAACAGAACCTCAAGAATGGGAATATGCGATTAGCTTTTGATCTAGTTAAATTTGATGGCAATGAGGACCTGGTTACCATTAGGTGATGGAATACTAATGTATGAACCGAATTGTGTCCTCCAGAAAAATTGATTTTTTGAACCCCTAACTCCTAATACCTCAAAATGTAACTGTATTTGCAATGAGCCTTTAAAGAGGTGATTAAGTTAAAATGAGGACGTTAGGTTGGACCTCACCAATTATGACTGGTGTCCTTAGAAGAAAAGGAGATTAGGGCACACACACACACACACACACAGGAACACTCATGTGAGGACTCAGAAATAAGGTTCAGCAAGCCTAGGGAATAGGCCTTACAAGAAACCACACCTGGCCAAGTGCAATAGCACATACCTGTAATCCCAATGACTTGGAAGGCTGAGTCAGAAAGATAAGAAGTTTAATCCCAGCCTGGACAACTTAGTGAGACCCTATCTCAAAATAAAAAGGGCTAGAAATGTAGTTCAGGGGTAGAGTTTCCCTAGATTTAATTCCCAGTACACAGTGGTAGGGGGGTATAGAAACCAAACCTTCCAACACCTTGGTCTTGGAATTCCAGCTTCCAGAACTATGAGAAAATAAATTTCTATTGTTTAAACATGTACTCACCCTGTGATATTTTGTTTTGGATGCATATCAAACTAATATAAGTAGTAATAAACCATGGCATTCTGTGTCAAAGTTATTTAAATTACTACTGGTGGTCAACTGAAATAAAACACCTATTGAAAGCAGACCAGGTGGTAGAACCGTAGCACTAAACTCTGTGGTAGCCTAGCTGCTATTAGCTTCCCTGAAGAGCTTAATGAAAGAAAACAGTCTTAGGACTTTAAATTCTTAACTCATGATTTTTTCAGAGAACTATCCTGAAATTCTCTCATCTCTTGTAGTTGCAGGGTCCTTGTAGCTAAAAACCACATACAGAGTTCGATACTAAAGCTATTGAATGAGAACCGAAGTTGAATTCACAACTTCCTCACATCTGTGAACTTAGGGAGTTAACTGGGAAGAGGTAGGACCTGTTAAAATTTAATGGCAACATTTGCAAGAGTTTCATAAACCTAAATACCTGAACTTCAGAACTCCACTGAGCTTCCCATTCTTGAAGAAATGGCTCTTCTTGCTATATCCAATAAGGTTGATCCTGACTTGCTTGACCCTGACCTCATTTAAGATAAACCTTGAAAAGGGATTTCAATGTTCCTTGTTTTACCCTTACCATCCTTGATTCCCTCCAGTCTCATTGTCACAGCCAGATCCCAATTTATTTGAGCATATTACATTCAAACTTAGGAGGAGAAGGCTTGCATGCTTACAGAATTATAAGAATTTATGATGACAAAAACCTGGGAAATGTGTGGAAATTATTTCTGGGGGATTTCTAGACAAGAAGAAAGAAACTTATTTTAGATCAGGTTAAATTTATTGACACAGGTACATGTACCAGAGAATATAGATTTGATATCTAAATGGGACAGCTGAGAGTGGTTCAGGTTGTTTGCTTGGTTGATTAACTTTGAATTAAACTCAGCTATGGATTCTGCTGATTAAACTGAGATCCAAAAATTCCAAAGCACAGTAGAGAAGAAATGATTCATAGACTTAGGGAAATAAAGATGTTCAAGTGGATTTGTCACATAAAACCAGCTCACCTTGCCCCTCATTCTTTCTGCAAGAGAATCCAGAAGATACCCCTTCATTGAGAAATACATTAGCAAAGGAACAGTTGGAAAGCATTGCAATGAATTTTTTTCTTCTGCAGACTGGAGATAATGGTGGGAATTGATGCCATTAAAATGGCCTCTCTGCAGTGGCAATGATAAAAGATTCAAGGTGATAGAGGCAAGGTAGCAGCATTTAATTGTGAGAGACAAAGTGGACATAATTTCATAATATGCAGTAAGGCTCACATAGTACACAAAACATTTTTTTTAAAAAAGAGAGAGTGAGAGAGAGAGAGAGAGAGAGAGATTTTTTTTTTAATATTTATTTTTTAGTTTTCGGCAGACACAACATCTTTGTTTGTATGTGGTGCTGAGGATCGAACCCGGGCCGCACGCATGCCAGGCGAGCGTGCTACTGCTTGAGCCACATCCCCAGCCCAGTACACAAAACATTTTAACCCTCAGGGTAGTTAACAATTTATCCTGGGGTCCATTAGTCTAAGAAAGATGGACTAGAGTCCTGCTTAATGAGCAGTGAGACAGCCTCTCAACCACTCCAGACAATTGGTTTCCAGGTCCCAAACATCTACGTGAAAGGGAGTCCTAGAATCTATGGAAAATGACTGAAAGGACATAGTAAGAACATAAACTGTCCCATATCATCATCCCTAAAAGATCCTGTGATTGTTTACCAGGGTGAATGTGCACTACAAAAAGGGAGAAATCTAGGACTGAGAGAGATTTTAAGTGCTGGCTCTGAGCTTACATCCTTAGGCTCCAAAACATCTTAAGAGTCTGCCTGTCGAATTGGAGGCTGATGAGGTATAATAATAAGTAAATAAATAAAAGTAATAAGTAGTAAGTAATAAGTAGATAAATAAAAATTGACCTGGTCCATTTCCTGTAGACTCCTTAATTTCTGAATATATGGTGGAAATGAGAAAGGAAAATAATGTTTAAATTCTGAAGTGTTACTAGACTTTACACACAGAAGTAATACTGATGATGACAGTTAACACTTGAGTGTTTCTGTGTCAGGTACTATGCATGGTCTTACTTAATTCTGTCCAAAAAACTATTTTGGTTGCAACTTTTATCTTATCTGTACTTTACAGATAAGAAAACTGAGATGTAGAAATGTTGGATAACTTCATTATCTAATGTTATAAAGTAATAAGGTAAAGTTATGTTCAATATAAGCTCTCTTGACACCAAAACCCTTGCTCTCAACAATGGTTTTCCATTGTCCTATCTATGCTATATTCATTAAGATTGATTTACTAATTAATTACTTTGAATTACAAGTCACATAGAACCATGTAAACCTATAGCAATTTATTTTCCTTTCCTGCTCTGTTTTCTAGGCTGATTTCGTGCTCAGGGGATAAAGGCAGTCTGATATTGGAAGATGGAAAAGGAGATCTGAAGTGTCATATCACAGAAAACCCATTCAAGATAGACTTGGTATCTGAAAAAGAGGTTGTGATGAGCATAAATTCCCAGGGCAAATTATTCTTTGAGCACCTACAGATTCCTCCCAAACAAAGGTATTTTTACACATTACTTAATGCATAAAGACCTAACAAAAACCTAGTTATGAGTATCAGCTGCTTATCAGGAGAATAAATTCATCACAGAAAATTGGTTTACCTTTTTTGCTGTGATTTTCTGAGGAATTTCATGTTTTCATATGTGCAGGTAAATACATGCTTTGTGACAAAAATGATTCCCAAACTTTTGAGAATGTCGCATTCTTACTACACCCTGGGTGTGACTGATGGCATTCTCTCCCTCCACAGCCTTCTAAAAAAGTATTAATGTGAACTATTATGTCTTCAAAATGTCACTTTCTCCCCTAGAATAACTTGAGTAACTGTAAGTATGAATAGTTCTACAGGAATGTTCTTGGACTATCCACTCCATCAAAGCTACTTGTTCCCAGTCACGTGATTGAGAAGTAATGATAAGGAAGAGATTCTTCCTTTAAAAAAAAAATTATTATTTTAAGTCTTCCAGTCAGTAGTTATTTGCATTTTTATCATAATAGTGAACATATTACATGGTCTTCAGAGAGCATTTAGCAGTCATTATTCCCAAATAGTGAGAGGTTTTTTCCTGGGTTTCATTTTATTTCTATCTTAAATTATAAATTTTAAATATTAAAAATATCTTGGGCCTGGAGCTATAGCTCTGTGGTACAATACTTGCCTAGTGTATGTGAAGCCCTGTGACCACCAGTGTCACAAATAAAAATAAATAAATAAAATAAAATCCTCCTAGAGAATGAGTGAGTTAGGATGCAGGATACAAGATTAAATATGCAAGAGTCAGTTACTTTCCTGTATACCAGCAATGAAAAGTGCAATTTGAAATAAAAAACACATTTACCACTTATATTAGCACCCTCAAAACAAAAATACTTATCTTTAAATTTAAAAATAAGTAAAATATTTATGTGAGGAAGACTACAATACTCTGATGAAATATTTCAAAGAACAGTATAAATAGTAAGTTGTTTTGTTTTCATGGATAGAACACCTTGATATTGTCAAGATGCCAGTTCTCCCAACCTTATCTGTAGATTCAATGCAATCTAAATTAAAATCCCAGCAAGTTATTTTGTGAATATTGACAAACCAAAGTTGTATGGAAAGGCGAAAGATCCAGAATAGCCAGTTCATCACTGAGGAGACTAACAAAGTTGGAGAACTGATAGCCTAACTCAAGACTTACTACAAGGCTACAGTAATAGAGATAGTGTGGTATTAGTGAAAGGGCAGACATATAAATCAGTGGAACAGAATAGAAAGCCCAGAAATAGACTCACACAGTGGTCAACTGATCTTTAGCAAAGAGCAAATGTAGTACAGAGCCAATAGTCTTCAACAAATGATACTGGAACCATTAGATGCCTACATGCAAAGAGTAAATCTAGGCACAGACCTTATTGACTTCACAAAACATGATCTCAAGGTGGATCAGAAACCTAAATGTAGAGGCTGGGGTTGTAGCTTAGTGGTGGAGTACTTGCCCTCACGTGTGAGGCACTTAGTTCGATCCCCAGCACCAAATAAAAAAACTAAATAAAATAAAGGTATTGTGTCCATCTACAACTAAAAATATTAAAAATTTTTAAAAATAAAGGCATAGTGTCCATCCACAACTAAAAAAAAAAAAGAAAGAAGGATACCTAAATATAAACAACAAAAATGTTAAACTCCTAGAAGATAACAGAGGATAATACCTAGATGACCTTGAATATGATAATATCTTCTTTAGATATAATATCAAAGAAACAATTAACAAAGCTTAACTTCATTAAAATTAAAAACTTCTTTTGTTTTTTTGAGAGTCTTGCTAAATTTCTAGGTTTGTCTTGAGCTTCTGATCCTCCTGCCTCAGCCTCCTGAGTAGCAGGGATTACAGGTGTGTAACACAGCTGGGGTTGTGGCTCAGCAGTAGAGCGCTTGCCTAGTATGTGTGAGGTGCTGGGTTCTATGCACATAAAAATAATAAATAAAATAAAGGTATTGTGTCCAACTACAACTAAAAAAAAAAATTTAAAACTCTGCCCTGTGAAAGATAATGTCAAGAGAACATAAAAACAAGCTGTAGACTAGGAGAAAATATTTGCAAAAGACCCATCTGATAAAAGATTATTATCCAAAGTATATAAAGAGATAAACTTGATAGTAAGAAAACAAATCCCAGTTGAATAGTAGGCCAAAAAATTATTAACAACTCACAAAAGAAGATACACAAATGACAAGTGGGCTTGTAAACTTCATTAGGGAATTGCAAGTTGAAATAAGGAGATTCTAGCACATATCTATTAGAATGACCAAAATATAAAACCCTGACAGCATCAACTGTTGTAGAGGATGTGGAGCAACAGAAATTAATTCATTGCTAGTAGGAATGCAAAATGTTACAGCCACTTTTGGAAGAAATTAGGCTATTTCTTGCAGAACTGAACATATTCTTCCCATATTATCCAGCAATCACATTCCTTGGTATTTTCCCAAATGTATTGAACACTTATGTCCACAAAGAAAACTACACGTGGAAGTTCATAACAGCTTTATTCATAATTCATAAAACATGGAAGCAACCAAAATATCTATTAGTAGGTTAATTGACTAACTGTGGAACACCCAGATAATGGAATATACTATTCAGCACTAAGAAGAAATGAGCTGTCAAGTCATGAAAATATCATGGAGGACCAGGGAATGAAATTGATCAAATTATGTGCATATTTGAACATGGCATGCTGAATCCCACTCATGTATAATAATTATGTACATTTTTAAAATGTTTAAAAACAAATATCATGGAGGAAATTCATATGCCTATTACTAAATGACAGAAGCTAATCGTAAATCTGGGCATCTGATTACATACTGTATAATTCCAACTATAGGACATTCTAGAAAAGATAAAACTGTGGAGATAGTAAAAAGATTATTAGTGGCCAGAGGTTGTAGGAACAGAGCACAGAGGACTTTATAGTAGCAGAAATACTCTATGTGATACTACAATGGAGGATTCATATCATACATTTATCTATGCCTCAATTGCTTTAAAAAATAAAGTTTATTAATATTTTAAAATTAAAAGGTAGGCATGCACTGTAATCCCTGCTACTCAGGAGGCTGAGGCAGGAGGATCACAAGCTCAAGACAAATCTAGAAATTTAGCAAGACTCTCAAAAAAAAAGAAGAAGAAGAAAAAGAGCTATGGATATAGCTCAGCTCAGCTCAGCGGTAGAGCACTTGCCTAGCATGTATAACGTCCTAGGTTCCATCCCTACTACCACAAAAATAAATAAATAGTAAAATACCAGGGAAATTTTTTAACATCTATAAGAATTTAAAAATTAATATGTACAGGGCTGGGGTTGTGGCTCAGCAGTAGAGTGCTCACCTAGCACATGCAAGGCCCTGGGTTTGATCCTTAGCACCACATAAAAATAAGTAAATAAAGTAAAGGTATTGCATCCAACTACAACTAAAAAATTTTAAAAAATTTAAAGCATTAATATGTATAAGTTGGGCACAATAGCTCATGCCTGTAATCCCAGCAGTTCAGGAGGCTGAGGCAGGAGGATTGCAAATTCAATTGCAATGTCAGCAACTTAATGAGGCCCTAAAGACTTATCAAGAGAAAATAAAACATTAAAAAAAAAGGGGGGGTTGGGAAGAGTTCCAAGATGGCAGAATAGAGGAGGTCGTGTTCCTGGCTGCTCTGTGGCATAAAACCAAGAAAGCAGACATGCAGCTTCTCTGCAAGGTAGGTGAACAAAAAAAAAAGGAAGGGAGGGACTTTATTCAAACCTAAAACTGAACATTCAAAGCAGATATGGGACACAGGATGTTGGATATAATAAAATAAGGGAAAAAAATCCCCACTGGCATAGGTGCTGCCACAGCCGGGTCAGAAGCTCCAGATAGAGAGGTCCGTCCATGAGCATAGTAGAGAGAAAAGGGAAGTAAAGAAACCGGCATTTTTGGGAGGCCTGAGGTATGTCTGGGTTTGGAACATTTAGAGACCGAAGAGATTGCTCAACAAACCCGAAGAACTCTCTGCAAGATATTTGTGTGGGGAAAGAAGCTGCCATCTCTCCAGGTAGCATACAGAGGACAAAAGAAAGAACCATTTTGCAGCTTCTTCAAGAGGTCTAGCAACTGAGGAAGCCAATTCCTAGCAAACCCAAGTTTGGCCCAAAATACAGGCTCAGTAATACACACTATGTGTGACACAGAGTGTGCTTAAGTAACCAGAAGAAAATCAAACATGGAGAAAGGTTTATACAGGGGACAACTGATGGAGGAAACCCACCCAGCTTTCCCCCTCACCCTCCAGTCCAGCTGGGAGAGTCACATTTGGCCAGGAATTCAGAAGGGTAGGGGCGTGAGAAATTTTTGAAGTTAACCCAAGACCAGGAAACTTGGGGTCTGCAGGTGACACAGGGACTAAAAATTGGCTCCCCCACCACATAAGTGGAACCCAGGTGAGATCCCTGGGGTATAGTGTTCCAGTGTGGAGCAAAACTGGGCATTGGAGGTGTGCTGATTTAAATCTTTAGACCAATTAGCATTCATCAAAGAGCCTGGAGCCTGCCTAAGCCTAAAACCCTGCCTCCAGGAACTCCACCTGCAGGACTCTACCTCTCTCACTCCAGCAATCTAGAGGGTGGAACATCACACTCCAGAAGACCCCACCAAAAAATGCTGAGAAGTTGAGACTATTTTGAATTCCAATGGAAAGAATTCTTTAAATTTTCATGAAGACTTTTTTTCTTTGCTTTGCTTTTATAAATTCTTTTTCACTGTTTCATTGTGACTTTAATGGTACATGGACATTTATACAGTTTCCTTTATTTTTTTTTTCTTCTCTGGCATTTCTGAATACAGTTATTTAACATGGTTTAGTTTCTTATGAAGTATGATGTTTTACTAGTATAGTTCAGTTCTGCTTTGTATTCTTTTATTTTTAATTTTTAAAAATTTTTGCTTTATATTTATATTTTTATCCTGTTTCCCTT